CGGCCCGGGGGCAGCATGGGGGCGCTGGCGCAGATGGGGGCGCACGTCTTGGCGGAGTTGGTAGCCGAGGGTGGTGCAGGCGGCAGCGGGAGCGGCAGCGCGGTTGCGGGCGCGGGTGTGGGCGCGGGCGCCGCGTCTGGCGCCGCCCCCAGCACGGGCGTGGGAGAGTAACTACAATTTGTGCGTCATGTTGTGTATTGCGGATCGCATGTGAGTGACGCTAGTGCAGTGTGAGGAACTGCTCTCGGTTCAGGAAATGCCAGGCAGGATGTAACCCATAGAAGCAGCCCTGTCAGTGTCCAAACAGCTACGCCAGCACTGCAGCTGTGCGGCGGTGCGCCGTGGGTGAAGCCTGAGCGTAGCGATGGCTGATGGGCAACTAGGGCTTTGCCCCAGTCCTGCTGGCTAGAGGGTGTGCAACCGACACACACAGCGTTCAAAAACATGTTTTTGCATGAGAGTCCTGTTTGCTCGACTCAGGTCCCAGCGGTGCGCCTCCTGACCCTGCTGGGTCGCCTGCGCAGGTCACGGGATTCCCCCTCACTGGAAATATCTCGCGGCGCAAAGCACGGTGGCTCCCAGCGACCCGCCCCGTTGAGGAGTGAGCGAGGTGCCGCAGAATCTAGGCGTTGATAATGGCATCACGTGTTCTGGCGCCAGAATTCAAACACGAGGGCTTCAGCTGGAGGGGAAAGGATTTGCCGAGGCGATCCCAGCCGACTGTTGGGCCCACACCCGCGCTGTTAGCACCTAACCAGCGATGTGATACATACCGTAAGAGTGCTCAAAAACCACTGGTAGCCCGAGGCATCCGAAAAGTGGACCGCGCGCCCGTCAAGCTGGCTCAAAAAGGCCAGACGAACAAGAGTTGTTGACCAAGCCATACGAGCCATACGCCCGTCATACGTTGACAGGCGTTTGTATACTTTTCCACTCCAAAGCACCCCTGCCTAGATCTCGTCAGTGGTGTCCACCCAGCGCGTCCGAGTTGACGCCGCAGCCAACATGGCAGCCTCGCATCCGCTGGTAGCACGGCAACGGGTTGCTCTGCATGCAGCGGGCGCCAGGCCGTTGGTCGTCGCCAGGCCGCGCCTCTGCCAAACACGCGCGAGGTCGCACTGTCCCAACGCCACTCGTGCTGAGCAGCCGTTTCCATGGAACGAAGAGGACTATACGCAGTGAGTGACCGCCGTGTTGCGTGCGGACTGCGGCGACGATACGCGCCACCGCCAGCACCGCTGACGCTCGCCGCGCATGCGTTGGACGGCGCCCCTGCAGGGTCCAATTCATGCCACCGCCCTTTGGCCCCATCCTGATCTCCAAGGAGCCGAAGGACAGCGTGTTCAAGGGTGCGCCTTGGCAGCAGGGCGCCCCGCTGGGCCCCGAGGGTTGGCGCTCGCAGTGTCGCTGCACCAGATTCCCCCCTCACGCTTCCCGCTGCCGCAACTCACCAGCCCGCGATCCAATCAGGCATGTGCATGCGGCCCATCGCCTGACACCCATGATCCGCATGGTCCCACCCGCCGCGGCGCGCGGCGCCCTTGACCGCCCAACCGACGCTGATCTCGCGCACGCCACCACGCCGCATGCGCCGCCGCGCAGCCGTGCTGGTGCTGCAGCGGGTGGGCAACCTCGCAATCACTGAGGATGCCCAGGCTTTGGAGGTCTTCATTTCCGGGGACAGTGCCCTGGGAATCTATGCGCTGCTCAACGGCCAGGCGACCGAGCGGCCCATGGCGCTGGATGTGCTTTGGCAGGTGCGGCGGCGGCTGGTGTTGTTGATGTTTGACCGGCGCGGCGCGCGCGCGTCCTGTCGCGGCCCGTGCCCTTGCGTGGCAGTTTGAAATGTTGAGAGGACTGATCAATAGCAGCCCTGAGCGCTGGGCTGGTGCAGGCGGGGGCGATCGG